ATTATTATTATTATTATTATTATTATTATTATTATTATTATTGTTCTTTATCACTGCTATAAGTTCAAATCCAGATTCAACCATTAACTCTTAACAAACGAGTATTGTTAAGTCAAAATTTCAATGAGCAATAAATTTTTTGTCATTTTTCTGCAAGTGTCAGAGAACACTTCAGTTCGTTGAGATTGAGCAGCTGATTATTGGCATAATTATGAAGTGCAATGTAGGAATGAAATAACTGTGGGATGAAGAATGCAAGAGCAACACCCACAACTGTTGACAGCTTTTTGAGTAGAAATAAAAACTCACGTCCATTTAACCAAAAGCGATCTGAAATATAGCAGTTTTGAATTCGCAGCAAATGTGATACAACAACAGTCGGTTTTTCTCGTCTATTCATTAGTAGTGATGCAATCAGCAATGAGAAGAATGTGAAACAGGCGATAATTGAGAAACTTAAGCCAATCTTCCGACTTGTGAATCGAATTGTAAATCTGTAATAAGTTCCTAACTCGGGAATGGATTAATCAATTTTTTTCGTTGGAGAATTTTTTTTTGTTAGCATGAGTTCGAATTTGAGTTTTGATAGCGAGTTAGTTCATCATTGTGTTCAAGTGAATAAAGGCGATTCAGTAAGGGTTTGATGTTTTTATCGGATCAGCAGTGTGATTCTGCTGAACGAGTGCCACCACTCTTTTTTCGTTGGCCGATTTGCTTAACATTGCATTTTCTCATTATATTCTTGAACTAAAAAAAAACAACGATTCAGTAAGCCTACTGAACGATGTGTAATAATGTAGTGTTTAAAAGAACACTCGCCAGTTAAAGTCAGAAAAAAATGATGACATTGCTGTGTCAGTGCATCAAAATAATGGATGTAATTGAATTGATGTAGAGTAGAACACATCGAGCATGCGATTATGAGAATGTTTTGTGAAGAATTATGTAATAATAATACTAATGAATTCAAAGGTTACTATGCGAAAGGAAGGTGAGGTCGTTGATAGTAACGAGTGGAACGTTATCGCCAATTGATGCGTTTGTGAATGCATTGGGTATTGACATGCGTATCATTCACTCGAATAACCACGTTGCTAGCAGTGACCAGATTCTTTGTGCTTCTATCACTCATAGTGCTGAACAACGTGAACTTCTTGGTGTTTACGAAAAGAGGTCGTTTATGAATGCAATTGTTTTTTTTCGAACTCATTTTTGCTATCGCTATCTTCAATATTGTTTCATTGATAATTGTATTAATTGTAAAATTTCAACTACATTTTTAAAAATAGCAGTGACTCATTCGCTCATTTATAGTCGTTGAGCAACTGAAAATTTCAGAGATGATCCGGAATATCATAGGGGAGTTGGCAGAATAGTGGCTCGTTTATGTGAGATCGTGCCCGAGGGCATTCTAATATTTTTTGCGTCATATAGCAAAATGTTCACGTGCATTCAGAATTGGAAGGTTTTGTTTTGTATTCAGTCTTTATGGCCATCACTTTTATCATTCTCAGATGATTTAGTTCGATTTGCTTTTTGTTTTCATTTCTCAAAAAGTTTCATTTCAATTCAGTATATTCCTCTTTTAATTTTTGTACTTTTCTGTTTTCGTTTCAATTCAGTATATTTCAATTCCAATTTATTTCAAAAGTTTTATTTCGATTCAGTAACATTTCCAAGAAAATGAAAATTTTAGAAATATATCGGTAATAAAAATGGGAAAACGATTTGGGAGGAAATGAACATGAGTAAGAAATTATTCGAGGAATCAAAGTTGAAAGAAGGAACGAATGAAGCGATTCGTCAGTACAAATTGCACGTTGCGCAATCGAACGGTGCTGCATTATTGGCTGTTTGCAGGGGAAAGGTTATCAATTTTTCTGTGGTTAATCACTCCGACGATCCATATTCGTATATCTCGCTTACTATTTAAAGCGAATCAGTTGCATTGATTCCTTACAAAGATGTTCACAATCAATTTCAACTGCATTTCTCTAAAAATTTGTTGATCGGTTTTAATCAGTGACCGATGCGCCCAGTTTGTTAGCTGTGTCTAATGAAAGCAGCTAGGCTGTGCTTATTTGTATGTATGTACGTAGTGTAATTCAAACGAACGCTGTCACGGATCGTTTTTGCTCTCAAATGCGCAATTATACTCAAGTCTAGATATCAATGACGTTTTCTTCGAGTTTCGAGTATGAGCCGAACACACTTTATGACTTTGTTAATTCCTAATTTCATAATTTCCGGTGAATTAAAAAAATATCGTGAGCTAAA